TGTATTTCCTGGTATTGGTCGAAATCGAATGCCTTGATCCGTGGCTTTTTCATCACAAACTAAGATATCACAAAATCGTTCATGTAATGTTCTATTGAATCGAATCGACATAAATTCAGTTTCACCCATGGAACAATTGGCTTGAAGATAGGTAAAATATGTTGTTACTCGTTGCCCACCAACTTCCTGATCATTTGGACTCGGCATCCAGTCATAGTGAGGTGCAATCTAAAATAGTAGATGCAAACAAACAATGATCAATCTTAACACACAACAAGTGATTTTTCATAAAAGCTATCCTGTGCCGCTGTTAATCCAGGCGATGCTACAGACTAGAATATATAGAAAATTGAATTAAAATTATGTCACACCTGTTGATCGTTTGCATATTTTACTACTTGCAATGGTTCAATACATTGGACATTAACATCACCTTGAAATTGAGCAAATCGCCGCTCGATGCATTGTACAACAGGTGTTTGATGAGGTCTAATAAATGCTGAACTTGACGTTCGATATTTATTAATAGCAGGTTTTCCACCAGCTATCGTGGTTGTTGAAGGTTTAAATTCCTTTTCTCTAATATACATATATAATAATTTAAAATTTTAATATCTTCTAGGGCAAATTAAAATTATTTCATTTTCTTCAATATTTTAACTTTCACTGCTTTAAAAGTGAGGGATATATATGTGAGATTCCTTTTACTTACGCCAGTTCAATTAAATGCTGCATTTCATTTTGAGTAAGAAACTTTTCAATATAGATAATTAATGGTCTTCGTGTAATAATTCGAGCAGAGTATCGGTGATGTGGACATTTATATCTATATTGTAATAAATCGTAATTATTAAAGGCTTGTGGTATTTTGATATCCTTCTTGCAAAACTTCGATTGTATAAATTCATTTACTTGCTGCCGAACATGCGACTTGAGATCGTTTAGGTAGTCAATAATCTGACGATTTGATCCAGTTGTTTGAAAAATGGTCTCTCGAAATTGATAGATCCTTAAGAGACAGCCTATGATCATGAACCCAAACAACACTATATCCAAGAAAATAGAGATACACAAAATATTGTCACTTTATTAGACAATAATACCTTTTATTATGCGATGCATATATTTATATTATTTCTATAGGCGAGAATTTTAATGCTTATTAATGCGCTTCGCGCAACGGATAGAAAATATAATTAAGAATTTAAACTTTATTTGCCAACAAATGTTTAAATATGACTTAGAATTCTGAATGCTGAATCAAATAAGAGTCGGTAATTGTAGTTGTCTTTCAGAGATTCTTAAATTCCTCGACATTAAACAAATCTACATAGAAAAAACAAATAGAAAATGTCACAAGTTGTTAGTCAACTGTGCGAACTAAAGCTAAACTTATCGATATACATAATGCTAAATGAAGTTTCTTCCATGATTTTAAACACTTACGCTACAGAATGGGCACGTTGTCAGCAAATAAAAAAAGAAAAAAAAATTGAATCTTTGACTTTTTTATAAAGAAAAAGTTTGTCTCCGTTTATGTAAGAAAAGAAAGAGAAGCCATTAGTATTGTAGAAGTTATGTGTTGATTGCTATAGCAACATTATTCAAAGTCTATTGAGAGACATGCATAGAGATCAATTTGTGTGTGTGTGTACATGATACAAGTGATTGGATATTTGTTCATAACCTTATTTTTCGCTCATCTGTAAATGTTTCAGCAAAATAAAAAACTAATCTATTGCAATTATTTTATTCTTAAAACAAGGACGATGTATTTTTGTTGGTAACGAAATTATATACATATACACGTGTATTCATATTGATGAAATGCAATCGAGCGACGCTATTTTATTATATAAACTGAATAAACATAATAAAAAGATAAGATACAAGAGCTAATCGTAAATATTGAAGTGAGTATTTCACAGATTTAATTAATATGAGCGAAAATAAAATAATGGATTATGATCAAACAATTAAATTGGTTAAAGAATGGCGCAAGAAGGGGTAACGTATTGTATTTACAAATGGTTGTTTTGATATTTTTCATTTTGGACATATTGATTATTTAGAAAAAGCTCGTCAATTGGGTGATAAATTAATTGTCGCTTTAAATACTGATAAATCAACAAGTCAAATAAAAGGTTCTCAGCGACCTGTTATAAATGAATATGCACGAGCACGTCATATGGCTGCTTTACAATTCGTCGATCTAGTTATACTTTTTGATGAATTAACTCCAATCATATTAATTGAAGCTATTCAACCAAATATTCTTGTCAAAGGTAGAGATTATACGAATGAAACTATTATTGGAGCTGATTTTGTTATTCAACATGGAGGAACTGTTCAAACTATTCCTTTGATAAAAGGTTATTCAACAACAGCACTTATCAAATCAATTCAGAACGATGTAGATAATAACATATAATAAACGAGGAGATTTTTAATTAGAATCTATACATATATGTATCAATTATTTGTTTGAGTTTATCGTTTTAGATTTGTTGCTACTAAATTTCTAATAAAACTGAAAAAAATGGATAATTTGAAAATAGAAAAACACTCTATATTTCATGATCTTGATAATGGTGACCTGTTTAAGTAGTTAATATTGTAAAACAATATAACATATTTCATTCATTGCTACTCAAAAAAGATTTTATTGTAGATTGTCGAAAATAATAATATAATATACAAAATAATATGTAAAGAAACAATTTGTATTCATTGAATGTTATAATAGGATAGGATTTCAGTTTTATGGCTGATTATTATTATTGACATTTTCTTAGATAGATAAAAAGTGTTACCGATATAATAATAAACTATTGCGAAGATGTTTGAAATCAATTTAGTTTTGCTGATTCAAAGTGTTATAGTATAAAGTAAACTTGAAAAAGATTAAATATTGAAAAGAAGAATCATAAAAATGAATTCATTTAGAAAAGAGAAAAGAAAATGCCATAATAGAACCTGTAAATTGATTGAATTTAATTATTATGTTATATGGAAAGGTTTTTATAATTTGATATAGATAATATAGAAGGTTGTGAGTGTTCGTATGCGTATTATACTATTCCATCAAGGCACCCACACCCATCTTATGTAGTTTGATGCATGATGAATAGGTCTTCATCAAAATAAACATATTCTACCTATATTCTAACTCAATGCCATATTACTTTTCAGTTCCTTTCTTTGATCGGTGAAATTCAATATCATTCATCAGATAACCTTTAAATGAGTCATAGAAAAGAGGAACAAAAGAGAAAAATTGAGGTGATTGCATATAAACAATAAAATACTAGATGAATGAAAAGAATGGAAGTAGAATAATGATGAGATTAATCGAATCATAGTCGAGTTTCACAATTGAAATCTAATATATATGCATTGAATGATTAAACATGTACAGATTAAATTTTTCTACACAATAAGAATGGAGTTGTTGGATACCAATTAAATATAACATTGCTCATATTTTGATGATATGGGAATCTATCAATAATCAAAAAGCATTATTTAAATTCACACGAAATTTTTTTTTTATTTATTATTCATTTCTCGAAAATATATGCTCCTAGAATCATCATAATACTGGAAAAATCATAGTTCTTCGTAACAGTAATAGATGTAGCAATAACAGACTAATAGATCATCTGCTTCCGACATTATAATACGGCAAGAATCACTTTCCTCCGTTGAATGACTCCCTTGTGATGAATCATTATATATATATGTACATAAGATCAAACTATTCATGATTGAGAAAAATATAAATATGATATTATTGAGATTTCATTAAAATAATGGTGTCGATAACCTTTAATATAAAGGTCAAAAGTGATATTATTCAAATAGAAAAAAATAAAAAAAACACCTATAACATCACTTCTCTTATGATTTATTGGCTGAAACAAAATAACTTGGTAAGAACGAAAGGAGGAAGACGTACACTTCCGAGTGATAGATAAAAGCTGGTTATTGTTCGACGTATTTTTACTTAGTTTTTTTTTCACTTTATGTAAGTAAAAAGTAATGTATACTTTAGTTTCCCCCCTACTTTGCCTATCTAATCAAGTAAAAACTAACAACAAAAAAGGTAAATATCAGAATGCATTCTGGATGTCAGAAATTTCCTTATGCTAAAAGTAAACTTTAGTAAAAAGTTTATCCAACGAGGATTTCAGGTAGTTTAAAAAGCAGCAGTACTAACTATAAGTTTCATTTTAATAAAATCATGAAATGTAACACGAAGTAGTATACTAATGTATGGTTTTGTTAGAGCGATGATAGCTAAATAGAATTTACTTTTCAAAAGGTATTTTACATTTCAGTTTTCCCATAGAATGAAACATGAAACTTTTCATTATCTCCCATCCCACCGTGGGAAAAAAGTTTTTTTAATAATTATCTCATCCCATTCCACGGGAAGCTTTATGAATAATCACTACAAAAACAATTTTCTTTTCAGAAGTAGTCTATTAAAACTAAGCAAAAAAAAATGATATTTATTGGTGTTTTGATCATTAACATTTTATCCTTTGATTTGGTCAAATGTGCTATAAATTGGAATGGGAATAATTGGGCACATAATTGTGATTTTAGAGAAAATGATCTTTCGAATGCACGAGTTCCTCCAGAACAATGTGGTGGAAAGTGTGCTGCGACTCCTGGGTGTACTCATTTTACTTGGACAAACTATTATGGTGGTACCTGTTGGATGAAAAAAGGCTCAGTTTCGAAAAGTGATGCATATGAAAGGCATGGTCAAAAGAGGGTTTGTGGCGTACAACCTAACTCGGTGGAGCCAATAGCGCCTCCCTCTCCCAGGTAAATTAATATCATATATATATATTACTTTTAAGAGAGTCTGGGTATTTGCTAAAGGAACAGATTCCCACACCCTCACGATGGTGCAAAATATGAAGTTAGATGAAAAGTAATTGAAACCTGAAAATTCACATCTGACGCTAGTCTTTGAAAAGTCACTACTTGAGTTTTTAAGTAAATAAATCTCTTTTGAAGTGAGCAGTCAACTAATGATATGGATTCACTCTCTTACATTTAGTCAGATCTGATTGAATCACTGCAGATAGCGTCATGTGAACAAACTTCGACGTAGCTAATTTATAGAAAACAAAAGAGAATAAGTCAATAGTTGGAATCCATAAATTTTTTAGAACAAATTTTAGTATCTTAAATATTTTTATAATATTAAATACAACTATAAACAATAGATATGACAATTTATGATTTCTATTGTAGCACAAGTAAACGGGGTATCGCATGGCCAATGGAAAACAAACAAGATTCACCTAACGTATTTTCTGGTGGAAAAATCTCCTGGATTTATAATTGGTCACCTTACAAAAACAACGTTGCTGGAATGGAATTTGTTCCTATGTTATGGAGCACAAATAGAGGTCACGATGGAAATAAATTCTTGAGTCAGGCGAAAGGTGCACGTGTTGTACTCGGTTTCAATGAACCCGAACGTGGCGAACAAGCAAATATGGATCCGGCTTGGGCAGCACGCGCTTGGAAACAATATATTGAACCTTTGAGAGCTCATGGCGCTCGATTGGGTTCACCGGCGATAGCATCTACGAACGAAGGTTTGAATTGGATGCAACAATTTTTGAATGAATTAAATAAAGTCGGTGGACGAATCGATTTTCTCGCTTTGCACTGGTATGGTCGAGGCTCGGATAATTTCATCAATTGGATTACTGCGGTTCGTCAACGTTTTGGTAATAGATATCCTGTTTGGGTTACAGAATTCGGGTGCACATCTTGGAATCCAAGTCAACCGGTTTCACAACATGAAGTAAATGAGTTCATGAGGCAGAGTATTGCGAAACTCGACTCATTGAGTTGGGTCGAACGATATGCTTGGTTCGGTGCACAGCGTCATTTAGATGCAGCACTTGGTTCGACCAATTGTTTGATTGGATCCAATGGGCAACTATCTAAATTAGGTAGAAAATATGTACATGAACTTTAAAAAAGTGCCACTACAATAACTCTAAAGAACATATCTATGAATATTAATCGAACATTTTCCTAAATAAATTGCTTTTGTTTTTGATTCGCAACGTAGGAGATGGTATGGGTGTGATTGATGACCATTACCATCTATAACTGTGATCCGACGTACTACTTTTCGTGATTAGTAGAAACACTTTTCATTTAGCACCGATGGGGCACGGTAAGAATCATATTTTGAAAGAATTCGCAACTGCATTTCTAAGACTGTACTCAGATAGAAAAAAGAATGTAATCGATCTTGAGGGTGTGGGTGTAAATCAGTTGCAAATATAATACCCACACTCGCACTGTGTTCATACATATTGATGATCTTTCAAGTATTATATCATCAATTTTATTCATAGATATTAATCACTAAAGTTTACACTTCATAACGATTATGTAAAACATGAGTGGCGTCAATCATTTTTCAACGACAAAAAAAAGAATGTATTTTGTTGCAACTAACGAGATTGTTGCGCAAGAATAATGTAAGATTTTACATAAACTATAGTGTACATTTCTACATCATGTTTTCTTTAAATTCTTTTTCATTTTAACAAAAATACTGTTGCTCTGGCAGGCTAATGTTACCATCAGCCCGCACAATTTCGTCATTGCAACACATTTATATGATCGAAAGAGATCAATTACCTCTTGGTAGTTGTAATAAGTAACTTTCTTAATCATGTGTGGAGCACATTATGTGTTTTTTTGTTTTTACACATACTATATGGAAAGAATGAAAAAAAAATAGGGTTATTCGAGTAACAGATCATCTATTTTTTGACCATTTACTTTTGAAAACAATAATTCATTTTACATATTTTTGTTTGCAACTCTTACCTCAGATAAGATACTTTTCAATTCAAAGTGTTTATTTAACTTTCTTGCGATAGTTGTAAGGATATACTCGTAGGTTTTATTATTGATATAAAGCAATAACAGTGATATATTTTCAAAGAATCTATTTACAGAAAGAACTTCTCATTATTAACTCAACGAACTGAGAATCGTCATTTTCTTGGATATTAATCGCTGATGGTGATAGATAGATAAAAGAGCAATAACATTCTATCATAATTCTGTGTATGACTCATTGCAGTTTATAAAGGTAGTGGACGACGTAGTACTTGATACGAGTCCAAGTGACATGTGTAAAGATAAAGTTGGTATCGTGCTCTACACATTATTGAGAAAAGATGCGTATGACAACTTACCAAGACATTGTGAGTCAAAAAAAAGATGATTTTATTAGTAGTAAAAATTAATCGAAAGTTACAAAAAATGATTAAAAAATCCAAAGTTGACGATACAATTGCACGAGATTTATTAAATCGTTTACAAAAATCACGTATTACACTTGGTATCCTTAGAAAAACTGGTATTGGAAGAACAGTGAATAGTCTACGACGACTTATTGCAAATGAAGATTTATCAACTCTAGCTAAGAGTTTATTAAGAAAGTGGAAAAAACTTATACTAGAATCTTCATCCGTATCAACAAATAGTAATTATAATAGACAACAATCGCAAGAAACTAATACAAATACTAGCAAAACTGTTGAACATCAAAGTTCCCAAACAACATCAGATGGTGATAAAGCATCACACATCTATGATAAAATTCAATTAAAATCTCGTGAACTTATTACAGCTGATCCTATGGAATTCGCTGCTCGAGTTGAAGATGTTATTTTTAAAGAATTAAAAGACATAGGTGTTAAATATGAGAATCGTGTTCGTCGGCGAATATCAAATTTAAAAGATTTAAAAAATCTCAATCTTCGTACCAATGTTCTTCTACGTATTATTACACTAGAACTTTTAGCTGTACTTACTGCTCAAGAAATGGCAAGTGATACATTAGAAGAAGAAGAAGAAAGTGCTCTTAATGAAGATATTGATACTGATCTTATTCAATGTGAAAGAAATAAACAAAATATTTGTGGATATACAAAACCTCAAACACATAGTGCTAATGAGCCAATGAGTTCATTTGTTTTTTGTAAAAATTGTGGTCATCGATGTGAAACGTAGATTGTGTTACCTAATAACAAAAAAACTGAGTAATTCCATGCATTAGTTTGATGTACATCTCTTGTCAATTTCATAAAATAAATAAAAAGATTATGTAAAAGATGTTTATATTGAGGAAGAGAAAAACATATAGTCTACCAAATCATTTTGAAAGTGTGAATACGGGAGAAGAGGATATGAATGGCATTGTATTCTTGTAGAAAAATGTAAAGAAAGGAATATATCAAATATCTATCAGCGATTATTTCTTAAAATAAAACAAAATAAGTTTGCATATGAGAACTATCATTACCGTATGTGAATCGATATAACTTTCAAAAAGTGATCACCATTATCGAGCGCCCTCTGCTCATTTATTCTTTTCGCAAAAGAAGGTTGATTGCATTTTTTATCCAATTGACAATCACTTGAATATACATAATTTATTTTCGATTTTAAAGAATATCTATTATTACTATTCTAAATTTACTTAGTAAATCATCAATGAGCAAAAAAATTTCCATGTGGTCGTTTATTATTAACTAAAGATGGTCGCATAAAAAAACTTAATCTTGAGAATGATGGTAGTACACGTTCTTGTGAATGGCCTGATGATCAAATGACTTACGATGAGGTTCATAATCAACATCTGACCGTTTATTCTTTTAGTAAAATAAAACTACAAATCATTATCTCACTCTAATATTTTTTATTATTCTAGCTGATAAAAAACATCAAACATCATTGTATGATTTTGAACATCAGCCACTCGATGTTAAACAATTTGAAACATTTGCTGATTATATAAGCAAATATGGTTTGAACAGAAATAGTACAGTTGTATATCTATATACATCTGAAGTTATGAAATTGACAAATAATTAGCTTATTTCGAGAGAAAGAATTGAATTTCATGGAATCTGAAAGAATGTTATCTAGATAGAATTTTAATTAACACATACTAAAAATACTTACCATGTAGAGATAAAGAAAGAATTTCTTTCTTCTTAGAATTCGTTGTCGCTACACATTTATAATTACTTAGGGGTATCCAAAAGTAATGGTTAATGTACCTTATTTTCGTAAAGAAAGCTTGAGAAAACGAAACTGTATTTTTCTATGCTATTTGATCATACTTCAACTAATATCATAATAATCAGAGTTCGATAAGAGCTATTTTTATGTAAAACTTACTTAATAGGTAGGCCATGGCGAATCGCCACGTTTCTAATAAATTTTATTGAAAAATGAAATATATCACAAAATCTCGCGTGAGTAACTCTACAATCTACAATGTAAAATTTATTTTAATTATATACCTTTTTGCTTTTAAAAAAGCAAACAATGAAGTCGACCGTTGTTTGTAAATTATAGAGCTTTGCAAGCTGCATCTCGCAGTATATTTTGTTGTATTTAAAAAACGTGTTAAATGATAAAAATATGAGGTAAACAAAGAATACTCTTCGTTTTTATAGAAAAGAATGATTTTTTCGTAACGGCGAAAACGTACCATCGATGTTCTCTTACATTGTTAAAGCTTATTGATGACTAACCTCTATTTATTAATTGACATTTCACTACTCTGCTAAGAACATTTATATTTACTTAATATTAAAAATTTCAACAAAACTTTGCCACTATGGGTGAGCATAATATGAACACAATACCCACACCCTCAAGATTTTCCTATAAACTTATTAGTTTTCTATGAATGATGTGCAGATATCGATAACCAACTTAATCTTTGATAGTATGTTTGTCACGGTTTGTAATGAATGGGGGATCCACATTTTTAATCGTATACTTCAATACTACTTTTAGTTTCTGTTTCACAAAATAACGACAATATTCATCGAAAATATTTTTTCAATTGTAAAATATTCGTCTTTTGAAATGATCTTGCAATTCTAGAGGAAAACGTTTAGGCCACCGAAAAATATTTATATTATTTATGAGAGTTCGTCAATGTCATTTGAAGGCAGCCATTCAGAACCAAAAAATAGATTAAAAGAAGATTGATCGTAAGTAATGAAGGATAGAGTTAGTATTGTTTTTGTCGACTATTTTGTTCTAGACGCGTAGAAAGAAGAGTAGAGGTGCATATAATATGTCGAGAATAGCAATGACAACCAACGTCCATTGGAATCCGATGATACGCACCAAGTATCCACCAATTGGAGGACCTATTCATAAAATAAAATAAAATATTTCAAGATGTTGTTCTCTCAGAACAAGCAGTTTCTCAGATGACTCATGATCGTAATATAAAAGTCAGGTAGAGGCTAGATCGATGTTCAATTGAAGTGAAAAGTACGATGACTATTCCAGAGATACTATATAAAGAATTTTCATAGTGAATCATTGAAGAATTAATTAAAAAATAATTCACAGGAATATTGAATAAAGAAAAGATGAATTAGAAACAATGATCAATCTATGCTTGTCGTTTCATTAGAAAATAATGCTAAAAAAATGTTTTTTAAAAACATACCGAACATGAATGATAAGCAAAGTGCTGTTTCAAATAAAGCAAAAGCATTGCCATAGTCCGAAGGTGAATGTCGCATATCGACTAGCGCTGCTAGAGTCGGTCCCATTGATGACATGACCATACCGATTGCCACACCCAATACACATTGTGGTACAATTAGTAGTGTCAACGAGTGTGCCAGAGGTATCTATGTATACGAATGCAGAAAAGTATTTGTTAGTAAAACAGAAAACAGGTAATATATGTGGACTTGCAATCATAGAAAAGAACAAGTTGAGAGTGTGGCTGATTTCAATAATTCTAGGGTTGTACTACCTTAAAATTTCGAGAACTATTGGGATAGTATTCACTCAAAGATGTGCGCACTATTTCATTTATTCAGAATTTTGAACTAATTACAGTACTGAATCTTCTTGGTGAACAGTGTAAAAGAGTCTATTACAAGTCAAATACTTGCAACACATAATAAATACAAAGCTACTGACACAAGAACTATTATTCTAATTAGTCGAAACATCATATAATAAAGAAATTCTTAGAAGTTTAACATTCGAAGAGAAAATCTTTGTCCAAACTATGTCAGTCATTGCCTTCTTCACAAACGTTCTTACCAATATGAAAGCGAGAGCCGCGATGCACAAACCCATCATTCCACAAAGCCATCTACGAATAAGTGACATAGAATTTTTTAAATGTATTTTGAAATTGTACTTACCGTTGAAGACGATAGCCAAGCGAGCCAAAAATATTCTGACTAATGAAGAGTGCAATACTAAGCGGTAGAAATGCTAATCCTAATGAAGAGAAAAGATGAAATGAATGACGATCAATTCTTAGTGACACAAAACACACCTTGTTCTGCTGATGTCGCCGATGCCATAGTGACCATCATATGAATTGGCAGTGTGGCCTCGATAATTGCCACGCCAAGGAGAACCATCATACTTGCGCCTAAAGTACACTTCAAGCAAGTTGATAAGAAACATGTGTATGATTTTTACCAATAGCGATGCATATTAATGGATCTCGAGCAAGACTGAACATGGATGAAGAGCGAGGAACAGGAGTTTCTTCAATTAATTTTTCCTTCTCTGGAGTCGATTCGGTTGATACGATGCTCAAGCGAAGTACTAAATGAAACGTATGAATGCGATAGATAATCAAATATAAATATCTACTTACATCCATCGACAAGAGCTATTCCAGCAAGAATGAGAAACGGAACTGCTTTTCCATAGTAATGATACAGGATACCACCGAAAACAGGCCCGACTTATCGTACAATGATGAAATATTAATTGTAAAAACGAACAAATAAGAAAATGAGTATTTTACTCACCAGCTACACCTAATGCGACACCACTCGTAGCATGGCCGATCATTTTGCCTCGTTCCTGATCGTCGCGAAAGTGATCGGCGATCATGCTTGTACCTTCAATTCCGTATATTTATGCGAAAGCATTGAACAAAATTTCATATTTCTTACCTGATACGGATGAAAATGATGAGCCGATACCTTGAATCCCACGCGAAATAAACAGTAGCACGTAGGTATTGGCAAAAGCAAACACTATACACAAATATACATTTTAATAGCAGTGAAAATTTTTAAAAGACAATGTCAACTGTAGATAAACTTAATACGCAGATTGATTTTATTTATAGACAGTATTAAAATTTACTTTTCAAAAAGTTTCGGTCAAAAAAAAAAGAGAGGGGGTTCTATTAAGTCTACCAGAAATTGACATAGTCTTTTAAAAATTGAGATTTGTATTATCAAAAGTCGCCCGTGAAATGATGTTCAGTACGTACTGAGAATCGATATAAACATGACGGCAAATCCAAACAGCATTGGTATCGTATATCCGATTCTGGAAGAAAATATGCCATGTATGTCTCGATATCAATTAGTGAATAAATAGCGTTACTTACCGAGCAGTGAGGATACCGACAATAGGATTTGCAATCAACTAGAAACAAAAATTCATGAGACAAGAAATCGTACTTTTGGATCTATATTCCGCTAACTGCTGTGAATCAGTGAAATATGTATCATTCTCTCAATTCTTACTTTTATATAATTTGTGAATTTCGAAAAAACACTTGAAATATTTTGAAAACCGAGTAACAATAGAACGATGGGTAGCGATATGTAAGAAGACTGAATATATTTGAGTCAAATGAAACAAATTTAAAATATGAATTGCTCATGGCTTGTACTAAGTGAGATATTCGAATTATTAGATATTTATATAATATATTGGAATGAGAATTTATGTCTCTTATTGTGCAGTGGTTATATAGAGCTTGCCAATAGTACAAAGAAAACTGTTTTAAACTTGGAAAAAAAGATTCTTAAATCTGTTTAGTATAAAAAATCCTAGTTCCCATCGTCGTTAAAGATAAGAGAAAGTTTTGACTTTTATAAGAACTTGTATAGTATTTTTTTTCTAAGTTTTAAGCACAATCTTCCTTATGTAACTCGACGAGTTCTATACGATCATTACAAAATAAAAAGCATAAATTCTCATGAATTTTTGGATTATCAATATCCACCATATACTCTAAATATCTAAATGTGACTCGAATACATTCAAACAAATCATTCCATTGTAAGTTATTTCCAGATAAAAATTAAAGTTATTAGATCACCTATTTCTAAACTGCAGTATAATGATCGAATTCTACTACCTGCATAAATGACTTGGAGCCATACATTAGACCGAGGAGTTCATTTTCCTAAAGAATAAAAACATGTTTAATAATAAAAACAATTGAATAGTTCTTCATGATTTGCAGACTCGAATAAGTTCGCGTGAAATTTCCTTGTCTTGCAGTTCGATCGATTGTTGTGTGCTATTTAAAGTGAACACAGAACAATCACGTGTCAGGTTCCGTTTCGTCGAAAGATTAAATGCCAAGTGTTGGGACTGCTTCGTATTTGTTTGATTATTTATGGTGGTCGACAGACAAATGTCACGTAATGACTGTCCATATGTCACATGACTGATTTGAAATAAATAGTCAGGCATAATTGGGACTAGAAGCATAAAATTTTTGTAGAGCTAGTCAAGAAGGTATGCTTTCTACATCATCAAATGAAGTCGACCTTCGCATTAAATATATTTCTTTTTCTCACATATTGAAAGAAAACTGAGAAATAAGTTTTTCTCATTAAGAAATGATATGATTCTGACTCGATGAAAATTGAGATAAGATTCTTTAAACTTTAGCGTCTTACTGTTTCCTAGGAAAAAGAGACATCTGCTAGCCTTAATAAAAAGAAACAAAAAACACTTGCTTCTTTTCATAACATTATCACGAAGAATTCAATCAAAGATTTAAATACACTTACTGACACATGTAAACAGGATACTGTCGAGGAAGAAAGCCACGAATACAATAAAAACGATTAGTCGACGTGAACTTCGCCATTGGTTATGAAAATTCTGCAAATTAGTTTTCATCTAAAACATAATACGAAGATCATTGTTCATTTTCTAATGGTTTTTTTTCATTTCTAACGAAAGGGTATCCTATAATTTTCCAGATAATAAACACAAAAGAAAGAATAAAAACGTAAATGTCCCATTCGTGAGCGATCCAAAAGGTGGGCTGATGATCAAGAGTATTGAGATGAGTGTAACCATGACGAGCCCATCCTTCAATCAGCTGAGCAGCTCGACGTGCTCCACCACCTTCCGATTTACTCAAATAGTGTAAACGTTTAAGTCGTTCAATAATATCTACGTATCGATCATTATGGACCAGCGATTGTACGGCTTCAGCGAACAGTTTAGCTGTGAGTGAGTGACGTTGAAGAACCACACTGATATTCTGCGCACGCATGCGAGCGCCATTCGCTTTTTGATCTCCAAAACCAGGTAAAATAATCGTTGGTTTGTGCGCATGTATTGCCTCTCCAATCGAATAAAGACCACCATGGCAGACGAATACCCGAACATGATGATTGTGGAGTACACGCTGTTGAGGAATCCAGGATCGAACTAACACTCGATGTGGATCAAATTTGCTTGTTAGGTCCGTTACAAAATTTCGACCTGTTTCATCATGAATAGCCAGAAGCATACGCATATTCGATAGAAGAGTGAGACTATCTACGATGGCTGTCCATGTATGTTCATTCAATACACTAACCGATCCCAGTGCAACAACTACAATAAACTCGTCGATATGATGAATTTGGTTCAGCCAAACATCGATTTCGTTGGACTTTAGATAAAAAGAGAAAGCAAAATAACCAGCAATGTCTTTCTCTAATTTAATTATCTACTTTTAGATTTTCGTCACATGAGAGACGACAGTACAAGGAATATTTGCTGCTTAGAACTCAATACAGAAAAAAAATGTAGCTTGTTATTCAAGTTTACTCAAATTATACATAACGTAAAAAATTTATTTGTTTCGTGGCTGCTCTTAGAATCTACTCTTTGATTTACAAAAGTATCATCTTTTCATAGAAATAAATTAACTCTTTTGAAAGTTCCATTTATTTAGCGTGAGCAACTACTTACTTCATCGGATACTTTATTAGAATCTTGTTCGTCCAATACAAAACCCAGAAAGTGATAATTCGGTGTGTAAGCACGACGAAATTCAAGTGCTAATGGATATGGAATTAAGATCGGATGATCTTGCCAACGTCGTACTGGATTGCCGAATAGAGGATGAATGCCTTGCGTAGTACGATTGTTGCGTCGCCTCAGCCGATCCAATTCTAGCATATGTGGTCCCAAATAAAAGGCAATACGTAAAGGCTCAATTAAATAATTGTCCAAGCGAGCGAATAGCGAATCTTTCAAATCCTCTTGTGTTCGATCGTCAAATCCGCGTGGTATCCATGAAGGTAGACTGAATACACCTTCGACACTCGTACAAGAGTGAATCACAAATGGAACGTTCAAATCATAAGCCAGATCTTGAGCAGCAAACGCAAACATATTGATGATCATAAGATCGAAATTTACGGCAATATTAGCGGTGAGCAGTCCAGCGTGCATTGATTCGTATACAGTGAGAAAACCAGGCAATGATAAACGTGACATGAATTGTAAAGGACTCTCGCGATCCTTCAGACAAAAGTTAGGTCGAGTGCCTTTCGTTGGCAGTGGTCCAAGAGGAATAATGCTGCTACTAGGCACTTTTTCACGAACGAACGGCATGAAGTCATCGAATACAGCAAATGAAATTGCAACATCCCGATGATGTTCCGCAAGTACACGTGCAATGAATACTAGACCGTTGAAATGAGAATGGGATGGAATACTCACAAATAGAACACGCTGTGCTCGTATACTAGTGATATATGCAGTTAGCAGCAATACGATCAATAAATGAATCTTCATTTCCATCACTTACCCAACTGAATTGGTGGTTGGAGCTATTTTCACTAGTGCAACATATTTCGTATAAATAGTATCTAAAGAAACGATTGAATACGAAATGTAACGGGGAGGACTATAATGAATGTCCGCATTGTGTAATTTATCTTTTTATCACTAAGTATATTTTATTAAAAAAGAATATGTACCACAGGAAACAGTATAGAAAGTTCTAGTCTAAAATAAGATGTTTATTTTGTATATGTAACTTTTATTCAAAATGAACAAAATTTTGTGTGGTCAATTGAGGATATAGTTGTAGGTGACTTTCCTCTTATTATCATACCCACACCTACCGAACAACTATGTAGTAAGTGCTTTCCCTAAAAACTACACTTTGGACCGCCTGCATCATCATAGAATACGTGGTGATCGCATCTCATCTCAATGAAAATAACAAGATTGACGTATACTATACTCGTATCTCATCGATGTTGAATGTAACAATGATCTAAACAAAACATTAATCATTTTCGTATGCTTAACTAATGAAGAAAACGAGAATAATGGCTTTAAATGTTATCGCATCTGAATGAAAATAGAAATAAAAAGAAAAAAGAGAAAAATGAGTTTTTCTTTCAGTCACACTATCGATTTTCTAAGTGTAACAATCATTTTAAAAAAATAGTTTCTTCTATATCCTCGGCCTATATGATAATAAGAATGAGTAGGATAGCGTTGGGTATAATTATATCTGAACAAAAACAGAAATAAAAAGAAGAGAAAAATATGAATTTAGTTTTAGTCACACTTTATCGATTTTATACGTATAGCAGTCATTTATAAAATATAAATTGCTCCTTCGCACTCCATTTATACGATATTAGGAACGCATAGGATAACGCTGATCTTAAGTTTATCTAAATGATAATAGAAATAAAAAAAAGAAAAAACTGAATTTCGTAAGTGCACTAAGCATTTATTAAAAAAAAATACTTCTACATGCTTCGCTTATACGATAAGAAGAATGAGTAGGACGATGTTGGTAATACTCGCGTCTGAATAAAAACAGAAATAAAAGAAAGAAGAAAAAAAACGTTTTCGTTTAGTCACACTTTATCGATTGTCTATGTGTAGTGATCATATATAAAAAAAATTATATCTACATGCTTTGCTTATACGACAAGAAGAACGAGTAGGACGATGTTGGTAATAATCGCGTGTGAATGAAAACAGAAATGAAACAAAAGAAGAAAAAATCCGCTTTCGTTTAGTCACACGTTATCGGTTTTTTACGTGTAGCAATCGTTTATGAAAAAAAACTTATTTCTACGTACTCCGATTATACGATAAGAAGAATGTAGAAATTAAAAAAGAAATGGTGACTTGTATTATAGTCATCATTCAACATCTCGAATATATGCTGTGGTTCATCAAGCGAACATCTTCGTTTGGCAGGACATCTTTAACGAACAATGATCTATTGCAGCATACGATGACTTTCGGAAAAATGTTCAACATATAGTATTATTCGGTTTTCTATTGAATCTGTCGAAAAATAGTATTCAATGCCGATTATGATACCATTTATTTATCTTCCCTGGCTTTTTTCTGTCGGAGAAAGAAAAAACAAGTTCAACTGAATGTATGTATAACCGTTATCAAGTGTCGTGGAATCATCAAATCAAGAAATAATTTTTTAGTATAACAATATCTATTTTCATTTCTATTTTTCACAAAAGTGAGTATCTCCATGATGATTTTATTGTAAGGCAGCTTTATCGTTGTCTGCTGCAGTACATCCCACATTTGTGGATTGTGTTACAATCTGAAATCTTTTTTGCTTTTATAGATCTGTAAATTTTTTGGTGCACTCTCCATTGATAGGATATCAGAAATAAGATATGATATACATCAATTCCTCGAATATTTGAGCTATATAGAATATCGATCAACTATTTTCTGTGACAAATAGTAATATTTTTCAAAATCTGATAGTATTCTTCCTCACACAAAAATGATGAAAACATTCATGACTTGTCTTTAGAACTTGAGTGAAGTTAGTTCAGGCTTTAGCTTATTTAACGACCGAAATTCTTCACAACCGTTTTTCTAAACCTGATTGTTTTATTCGATTAAGTCCTCTTCTTTTGAAAGTTTTCGAAAGGACTTGAGATTTTTTTACAGCGGATAGAGCTAATATAGTTAAGAATAATCTAAGAATTTCAGCTCAAATAGAGAGGTGTAGCTTTGGGTGTATGATGGCTATAATACTTAAACACACTCAAACACACTGTAGTCTATTGACTCTAATAAGATATGAAGTATCATTTCAGATTAAAATGACTAAACAAATTCATGAACAATTAATAAATTTAATTGATAATCAATCATTAGAAGAATTTATTTCTTTATATTCAAAACATTCATCTTTACTTAAATCATATCAACATACGGAACTTCTATTTCGTTCTTGTCGTTTGGGTTTATTATCATTTGTAGAATATATACTAAATTCAAAGCTGATTGATATCAATTGTTCACATCCATCAACAGGTTATCCACTTTTATTTATTTCCATTCGATCACAGAAACATGATATTATCAAATATATTATTCAACAAACAAATGCTAATATTAATTGGTCTTGCCAGAACAATGGAATAACATGTCTTAATGAAGCAATACGACAGTCGGATTATTCAACAGTTATGCTTCTTCTTGAACAGGGTTGTATAATTAATCGAAGTCATTTATTTGGCACTATCATCGAATGTTTTCGTCAAAGAGATAAAGTTAGTTGAGTTTTTGTTTTTTTATATTTAAAAAAAGTGTTACTAAATTTAGAATATGCATCCATTAATAATACTCGATGAATTAATTAATCGTTGTCCTAAACTAATTAATGAAATAGATCGAGAACAAGTGACTCAATTCATTCTTAATCGATCTCATTATTTATTATCAAACTCAAACTCTGTTGTTTGTTCGCTTCTTGAAAAATTTTCATTAAATATCAATTATGATTTAGTAAACGAGATTTCGTTGATGTCTATGAAACAAAATAAGAAAGTTCATCGAACACAAGTGGGAATAATTGGTTGTGGACCATCTGGATTATTGTTAGGTGCATTATTATTTCGATCAGGTATTGATTCAATTATAATTGAAGAACAATCTCGTTCAGATGTTGAATCAAATACCCGTGCAGGTGTTCTTGAACAATCAACAATTGATTTACTTGATGAAGTTGATATTAATGAACGAGTTCTAAAAGAAGGAATTATACAACGTTGTATAAATATACAATTTAATGGTGAAAGAATTAGTGTACCAATAACAGAATATACCGAAGGAAAAGTTTCAACATTTTATAGTCAAAATCTTGTTGTACAAGATTTAATCGAATCACGGTTAAAAACAAATCAAAGGCTTTGGTTCGATATTGAATATGCTAGAATTGAACGACATGATAAAACAGGTATTTATAATGATATAAATAGAAATAAAGTATTAATATTTGATATCTAATTAGATGATGGTCAACGTCCTTTAATTAAGTTTCGTCGTCGAAATAGTAACAAAGAAGAATTGATTGAATGTGACTTTATAGCTGGATGTGATGGAGGAGCAAGTAAATGTTGTCGTCATTCAATTCCAAAAGATGAAATTCGTACAATTAGAAAAAGTTATCCATATTCATGGTTAAGTATTCTTGTTGATAGTCCACCTAATGGACACGAAGTAGTCTATAGTTTTGATAAAACAAATGGTTTTGCTCTTCATAGTCTTCGTTCTCCAACAAAGAGCCGTTATCACTTACAAGTTTCTGTTGATGATAAATTAGAAGATTGGCCAGATGAAAGAATTTGGTCACAGTTGAACAAACGATTAACATTGAAAGATAAATCTTGGAAATTAAATGAAGGAGCAATTATTCATCGAGCATTATTTTCAACAAGAACTTCAATGACAATTCCAATGCAATACAAACGTTTATTTTTAGTTGGTGATGCTGCTCATATCGTTCCTCCAACTGCTGCTAAAGGTCTTAATGTTGCCGTTAAAGATGCTCGAATATTAGCTGAAGCAATTATTGATGTGTATGATAACAATACATTCGATAAATTAAACAATTATACAGATAAATGTCTGATACATATATCTGAAGCTGTAGAATTTGCTATTTATATGACATCACTTTTACATAAATTAGATTTATCAAATGAAAATAATGAGATTAATGAATTTGACGAGATTTTACAACGAGCACGACAATATCAATTTCAGCATTCAAGTGCTTTACGACGTCATATTGCGCAAATGTTTGTCAGCTAAACTAACTTAGCAAAAACATATTTCGTTGTTAAAACTAAATTCAAGAAAAATAAATCGAAAATAAACTAATATTAAAATATTATACAAATGGGAGTATGTGCGTATGAATGAGAGTTAATAGATGAATATCTCAAAAGAGGCTACGAAAATTCAATTTTATATTGATGGTTTGATTGACAAATTGAAGTTAAGAATAAACCAAAAAGAAAAGGATTACAATGAGAAGGGTATTACAGAGAAGCATCAGCATCCACACGAAAAACTAGGACTAAATTTTTTTCGTAAAATTTGATACATAGGCTGTGACGATTACTGATAGTATTACACTATATTATATTTCTTCTTATCGGGAAACGTCTCGATTTCATACAAAACATACACTTACATACTCGTCCATCACAGAGAAAGAAAGAACACAAAAGAAAAAGACAATAACGACGAAATGAGAAGAAATCATATGAACGAGACAAATTCCGTTACAAAGGCTAGCTCAGTTTTAGAGTTGATGTGTGAAGCTCACCTATTTACAAAGACTTTATGAAACTAGTATTATCTATTGAAATAAACTTGATAACTAGTTAATTTATATGTTATCTCTTATGTTTTTCTGTATTATATCAGTAAACAAAATTGTATCAACAGAGATCGATACTTACGATGTCGATCAGTTTAAGTTTTATTTTTAATAGTTTATTTAAAAAAATAATTTTTCAAAATCAAACTTAAGATCAGTTGAAAGAATTTATCACTGAGAAACTCTTCACCAGACTTATGAAAGTGTACATACAGTTGAATTTGAATGGTTGTCTACTGTATCTTTTGAAGATTTATTTTGTTTTATAATCCACATCATAGAGCTCACTGTATTGGCATAAGAATCATCGTAAAAATTGATTCCATGCTCACGGTTTAATCGTTCCTGTAGGATTTGAAAATGTTTAACTGGATTTTCTTGATAAAAACTTAAAAATAATCGAGCATACACACATAGTGCTTCGCCATCATAAAAAGTACATAGTTGAGGTACAAGAGCTCTTTCAGTGCACCACCAAGATTGTACTTCAGCTGCTGACCATGTACGTGGTGCTGTAGTTGGTATAGAATGATTAATAACAGTTTCAGGAATCTTGCTTTTTAATAAAATAGGTTGTTGTTCTTTCGTAGATACTATACTGACTTCATGCGAAAACTGTCCCGTTATTTGCTGCATTGTTTCTGTCGATTCCGATGTGTTATTACGCGCAGATATGTATGTAGCCAGACGAGTAATTCTTTCAGTAAATGATTTCTTGCCAAATTTTACATGTAATCCTGTGAGATGAATATCAAGCCAAGGTTCTGCTTGATATTTGTCATCGATATATAAAGCAATGATTGGAATTTTTAATTTTATAGCGTAAGTAGCTTCAACACGGCATGAATCGCTCTTAGTACAATAGTTTTCTGAAACAAGAATCAGTATAGTACTTGCATTTTTTATGGCAATTGCTATTTCTTCCCAGCAATCATCTGATAAACAATGTCCATCTTCGTCTATCCATACGGAAATCGAATGTTGTTTGAGACCAGCAACAACTGATCTACAGAAATCTGCATCTTTATGTGAATATGAAATCATTGGGATTTTTGTCGTCGATGTATTCATAGCATCATTTTTATTAGAAACGGATGTCTTGAATTTATCGAGATAGACCAATATTCCATCAGCAGCAGTTTTAATCGTCATTAAATTATTTCTTAAAGATGAAGGAATAGTAGTTTCACTATTGGATGTTGATTGTTTTGAAGCTTCCATAATAGTTACAATAAATTTCTGATCTTCTTTTAGTTCTTTCTGAGCAGATTGATGAAATGCTAGACGACATAAAATATTATATAGTGCTAATCGAATAAGATGTTTGACGAATAGATCATTAGTAGAAAGAACATTGTGTTTATGAAAGAGTTCAATAAAGAAGGTAAGACCACCTAGTTCATTGTTCTCTAATACATATTTCGCCATATTATCATTAATAAGAAGTTTAGCAAGAGGTACTAAGTATTCATATAGATGGCCCGTGGCCGAACGTAAGTTAGATGAAGCATTTGCTTCGTGAATTCTTTTCAATAAAACATCAATAGCTGGATTAAGCACTGGTAATGTTTTGAGTTGATCTGTTGTTGCTATCATCGCATAGATTCGAGAATAAAATGATAATGTAGACGAAGCATGTTTTAGTCTATTGGCTAAAGCCTTTTCGGATTTACCTAAAGCAGTGATTGCGCACGCTTCATTCAATGCTGTTATACCTTCTTCACATTGACTTATGTTACTTACAGCAATAATCAGTGAACTAAGTGGATCCGTGTCATTATTTCGATTACTCATAATATTTAACCATTCGATTAATTTTGCTGGAAAACCAATCCGAATAATAGTAGGTAAAAGACTCTTGCTATCAGCCATAACAACAATAAGTGAAAAGATGACACTGACATAATCTATTTTTTCTGTATCTATCTCTTTATTCCCAAAATAGTTATCAATAAATATGATAATATTATGATATACAGCGTCATATTTTTCTTCGTGTAAACATTTGTGAGCCGTATAGTCAGATAGATTCAGATGTTCCATTTGTCTACTGTCTGCCCATATAACCATTTTAGCTAACTTTAAGAATATTTCTGCATAAGTACCAGTAAGATACATAGAGAGTTTATCCGTACTTAAACCTTCCATGGCTATGTTATAATATTCTTGTGCTGAGAGAAGTTCGTTTTCAATTGATGTACCGAGCTTTGAACAAATTATATTCCATAGATAAACAATATTAATCATAAATAACGGGTGATTGGACAATGAAGACGAAAATCTAATCGAAATTTTACAAAAATGATTGAATATATCTGGCAACTTCTGTTCGAGTATTTCCCGATTGGATGATAGTCTATTTTGAATAGCAGGATTTGACAAATGATCTTTAAGAGCCGATAATATAATGTTAATTTCGAATGCATTATAATTTTCTGTCGATGAAATTGTCGATGCATCAAGACGGTTGACTAATTCAGTTAATTTGGCAAGATCAACGCTACTTAAATCAATGTTGTCGCTGCGATTTTCATATTCAGTCATGATTGTTTCAATACGAAGCAGATAGAATTTTAAATTTGTAACGCAAATATATTAACTGCGTCTCATTTATTTCAACACTCACATCGCATCATTGTTAATGTTTCCATCACAACAGAAAAGAAATATATAAAAAAAAAGGTTTACACCACGTGTAGTTATAACAATAAATCTACTTTAACGCTCACATTTTGTTATTCCTTACGTTTACATCTCGATAAAAACAAACAGAAAAGAAATACAACGTCAGAATGTTCTGTTAAAAAAATGAGAGTAAAAATGAATCAAACAATCTAAATTACGTCATGATAGAGAAGTCTTACAAAATATACTTAATGAATAAGACCGTCAGAAATCTCTGATTTTTATTTTTGAACTCTATCAAAATTTCAGTTATGGTTTAGGAAGTCTAGCTCTGTAATAAATAATGAAATCAATACTATGATAAATCTTGTTCAAGAAATATCATCGATGATCAGTAATATTTAGATAACACCTGTTTGAAGTGATTCATCAACAAAAGAAGATGTTAAAGCTTAATCTAAACATGTTTTTCGAATTCTTTCTTTTTCGTGAAAAATCATCTTAATGAATATAATAAAAAAATTGAAAAGAATTGATTCACAAATATCGATTAATATCATTTTTTTTATTTTTCAAAAAGTCATCTAACAGTATGACATCATTTAGCGAATAAAAATTTTTTTTCGAGATGATCTCTAAGATTACGAATTGAAATTTACAATAAGTGTTTTTGATATAGAATCATTTTGTTTTTCTATGTCCATAAAGAAATTGGGGCCATACCTAAAAAAGAAAAAGAACATCTATGATCGTTAATAAATTTTTTTGAATAAACCTTCTGATGTAGTCCATTTAGGCATCGTCATATCATCGGCTAGAAAGTCTATTGGAAATTCCACAATAAAACCTTGAATTTGTTTACATTTTTCATGTGCCTAATTCATAATAACAAAAAAAACATTTTGATATTAATTAAATAAAATATAATCCTACTGTTTTAGGATCTGTTTCTTTTAATTTTGATTTTTCTTTATACGGTTCAACATCAACAAATTTTCGTATTTTATTTGTAGGTATTGAATTAAAAACTTCTTCATAAATATCTGTATTAGTTTTTGCTATTCGACGAAAATATTCATAAAATTCATCCGAACATGGATCATCAATATTAACTTCTTCTTCATTTTTAATACCTAATATTTGTCTTTAAAATCAGCAAACAAAAATGAAATTCAATAAAAACAAAAAAAAAATAAAAACCTAAATAATTTCTTTCGCCATGTTGAACAAAATATTCCCACTTTTTCTAATTTTCCATTCAAATAAGAATCAACCATTTCAATATCATTAACAACTAGACACACTTCAGAATCTCGAGTACCTTGCATTGAACGATCATTCAAATTAGCTGATCCACAAATACACATTCGATCATCAACAATCATTAATTTTGAATGAACATATATGATCTCTGTTACCTTTACGAAATATTATTCTAAAATAAAACAACACAAATATGATATTCACTTACTAAACTACCCATTAATATATCCCAATTTCGCATGCCATAAAATGTGAGATATTCTTCAGGATTCGATACACCTATATTTATTAATTATTTGAAGTAGAGATTTTATTTTAAATATAAAAAATACGAACCATCACGTATTAATCGTTGATAGAGAGATGTTTCACCTTTATTAATTGATCTCATAATAAAATAAAGTTCAGCTTGTACAGCATTCGAATTAGCAAAACCAGGTAATAATGGTAAAAAAATAAATATTCGAAATTTTTCTTTATTTATATGTGCTCGAATAATACGTCGATAGAGTGCATTTCCAATATCATTTTTAATTGATGTATCTTCAGCAATTGTAACAAAGAATTGATTCTAATTTTATATTTACGATTAAATTTTTTTTTTTGGAAAGAAAAGCAGAAAAACATACTTCAATATAAATAAAATGTTCCGCATTATCAATCATATGAATATACGCATTTTGAACTGATCGTTCGACATTATTTATACCACATGACCAAAATGATGCTGAACGTACACATTGAGCATCAATACAAATTGGAGATCGATCATTTGGAAGAATTGATTGAAGGAATGATTTATCAGATAGTTCTTGATCATCATATGTTTTTGGAAGAAGATAAGGATATGATTCTTTAAAACGAAATTTATCGGCCTAGAAATAATTTATTTCGGTTTTTGTAAAATATTTTAAGAAAAGACTAACTTTGTGTATATTCCATCGTTGTATAAAATGTCTTGCACAATCTCTTGCTGCTTCACCTGAAACAACTAATACTTCATCATGCCATGGCATTCGTGGTGAAAGTTTTCGATCAATATAATCTAAATAAATATGATTTGAAGAAAAATTGTCTATGAATAAGAGGAAAAACCTTCATCAAATTTTTCGACAAATTCAAAATCTTTTTCATAATAATTTGAATAATCTTTGCCCAAAAAGAAACGAGTTTTATCATCAACTACAGGTGTAACACCAACAATTGTTTTTGGTTTTTCATCGGATACTGATGTATCTTGTTCATCAGCAGATGAATCATCGGAATCATTTCTTTTGTTTCTCTATCATTGAAATAAAAAAAAATATGACGATTCAATTTAAAAACGACGTACTTTGAAAATTCTTTGCCATTTTGATTCATTGTGAGGTTTCTTCTCCGTATTATTCGAACGATTTCCTATCTTTTTTAATTATATTTCATAGAAAAAAAAGAAAAAAAAAATACCTATTGGTTCAATTACATTTTCATTATTATCTTGTTGCGAATCTATTCTCATAAAAAAAATCAAGAATTAATTATTAAGAATAATATAAATATAACAACATACTTTTATTCGATGCTTCGTTTGATTCTTCTTGTTTATCATTTGCATCACCGAATAATGATGTTGGTATCTTTATGAAAAACTCGTATGTTTAAATCTTATTCTCAAATCTTATATCCTTACCGTATTTTTTGACATTTCCGTTGTTGTTTCAACGGCAGCTTCTTCTTTTGCAGATTCCTCTTTAGGTTGATCTGCTAATTCCTCGGGAAGTTTCAATTCTGTAACATTTTCATCACTTAAATCTACCAATCTATTCATAGAAGAAGAAAAAATCGTTCAACAAGTACATCCAACTATTATGTATGACTCACCGATAATCATCAGTATCCCAACGACCCCAACAAAGATCAATGCCTCCGATAAAGGCTATTCGTTGATCAATAACAACTGTTTTTTCATGATGTGAATAGAGAAACGACGATTCTGTTCCAGGTAAAATTCTATGATCAGGATGTCGAATAACCTTAAACATAAAAAAACTTAATTTTAATTCTAGAAAAAGGAGCAAATTAAATACTTTAATATTTTTCTTGTTTGGACTTTTTCCAACTAATTTTCTTTTCGAATGTAAACTATTTAAACCAACAACTTGTATAATATCTTTGAATAATAGGACATAAACACGAACACCTTCTTCCTATTTTCTTATCATTAATAAATAACAACTACCGAACAAAAAAAGAAATTTTTAATAACTTACAGCTCGTTTTCCAAGAAGATTATCTAATTGCATTGAATCATCTTGAAATGGACGAATTAATCTTATTTCTGGTGAAAGCCACCAATCACTAATAAAAATTTCTTCACGTGCTGATAATATAGCTTTAGCTAATGCTTCCATATATGATTGACCATTAATAAACCTATTCATATAGAAATTAGAATCGATTTATTTCATCGAATACAAACCATTGTGCATATTGTTTTTGTCTTTTAGGTGCAAATGATTCAAATAAATGTTGTTGTGTAAAAATCGATTTATTCTTAATTTCCATTAAAGAATTAAACCAATGATCACGTTCATAATCTCGTTGACATTTAATAATCATACGACGTTGTGAATTTTTTATTTGAATACCTTTTTTTGTTCTTGTCTTACGAAAACGTCGATCAAGATTAAATTCTTGATCAATAAGCATTGGAAAACCAATCAATGCTGAATCAAGTTGTATATATACAAAATATGAATCTTTAATAACGAACCATTTTTGATCATGATAAAGTTTACATGGATTACATTGAAAAAGCATCCGAATAAAAATTGATCGACCACGATAATCATCATTCGATCGTTTAAAAAGATTACCTTCACGAAAACTCTTTCCCAGTCCTCGTACAAATGACAGAGGACTAATTTCAAGAAAAATTCTCTATAAAAAAAATCTTAATAAAATAATATATGCATATTTCAATATTACCATAGCGATATGTTCACGAAATATTGGATGTTTAAGAACTTTATTCAAATAGGTTTGTAATACTTTCTAGAATTATAAAAAAAGATTAAAGATTTTATTTAAAAAAATATATTAATCATACACATCGGTCTCTGATAGAAAATTCATTGATGAATGCTATACGATCATTTTGAGTTGGAAAACGTGGCTGTTGTTTTTGAATTAATTTATGATTTTCATCATTATTTTCATCATGTTTGTTGGAATCGTGTCTGGATTTTTTAAATTCAGATTTAATGTAATGTAAAAGAGATTGATGAAGTTCATGAAAATGTTTATAACGTCTTTTAATTGTCCATTCATATATAGAACCATAACGAATAGTTATTGTGTATCTATATGTAAATAAATAAGAAATAGAATTAAAATTAAATGAATAAAACTTACAAATACGGATTGAGAAATTCACCTAGTGGATTATAGATTCTTTCTGCTTCTATGTTAATAACTTCTACTGGATGATGGGATAGAAATATTTTATTGCTTCGTAAATAAATCTGTTGTAATGGATATTGATCATCTATTTTTAAATAAATTATATGAGAAAATAGAAAAAAAATCAAACCTTCTTGATCAATCGAAATATCTTCGCATTTATCATGAAAATTTTCATTAGGATATGGTAAATATTGCATATGTCTTTCAATTGTATTGCCTAAAATTAATAATAAATGAGCTGAATTATAAAGATTAACAAAGCAAACTAAAACTCACGTGTGGTTGTAGTTATATCGACAGCATCTGTCGTACATTGAACAAAACCATTAATACCATCAGATGGATTAGTTATGTTCATTGAATGGCTTTCTAATTTGTATAGGTGAATCAGTACAAAGATTTCAAGTATACTTAAAAAGAAATACACTTACCAAGGTCGATTGAAGAATTGTAATTCTATTACACACGCGTTGTTATTTCTTTTTTTTTTTTATTCCTCTTTCTTCTTTGTAGGCCTACCGGAGTCAACCACGAGACATGAGAGGTATAGATATATTTATCTGCCATAGTTTGATGCAGGAAAAAAAGAAAAATATTTTTTTTTCGTTTTCTGTCGTATAGAAAGAATATCACACTTAATGCACTCTACTTCTTTTTCAGTGTATACTACCAAAAGAAAGATATATATACTCGCGTCATCTTCATGAATCACTTATAGTCATTCTTCTTCATTTCTCTTTGATAAATATAAGAAGAAAAAATATAATTAAACTTCAACATTCTATCTGAATAAGTTTTAGTAATGATAAAGTACACATTTTTTAAAGGGAGATGACATATTAATTGTTATACAAGATTATTTAAAGTTATTTTATTACTTTATTGTTTAATAGAGTTTCACTAAATACGAAGATATATATAAATACAATGATTTAATTTCTTTGTTAATAAAATTTATAATCGTCCATCTGGATAAAGCCATGTAAGTAAATTTTCATGTTGTCCTAAAAATTCCAATCCATATGCGGCTGCTTGAACGAGCTTTTCATAGCCAAATAAATGAATATTCTTTAAAGTATCACACGGTTGATGATAACATGGATCAAGTGCGGCTCCAGCAAAACCAGCATTATCTTTTCCTACAGATTGCTGATATTTCTCACGTTGTGTTGCTGTTTTTAAGGCATCGGAACCGGTTGCTACACCACCAGCAGCTATACCTGCAGTTAGAAACGGACCATAATCACTTCGACCGTTAAAATCTCTAAAATCCCATGGTAAGTTTTGTTTAATAAACCAATCACGATAGAGTTCTGTGATCTTCGTACTACCAGGAAGTGCGCTTGATGGTGTGCCATTTATAGCTGTTTTAGCATCATAGATTCCAAATATAAAATTAGGTGAACCTGCCATATCAAAATTAAGATTGAGCAAATAATCTTGAAGACGTTCACCTACAGCGGTCGCATTCCGAGCATTTTGTACGTGATAACTTGATCCAGCTAAACCAATCTCTTCAGCAGCCCACCAACAAAAACGAATACGATATTTATATTTAATATATGTTGTTGTTTGATAAAGACGTGCCAAATTAGTTGCTAAAACTAGATTAGCTGCAGTACCACTACCTAAATAAAAATTTATTGATATAGTTGTAGATATTCTGATAAAGAATACTAACCGTTATCATTAATGCCTGGTCCAACTTGAACACCATCACTGTGACTTCCGACAACAATAGTTTGTTTTGGATCACCATTTATAGTATCCGCACAAATATTATCAACTGGATATGTTCCTAAATTTTGTAGTTCGATTTGAAGTTTGACAGTTGCTCCTACTAATGCTGCATCTGCTAGCGCTTGTCCAGCAGCATACGATAGGAAAAGTGCAGGTAATTGATTGTTATAACGAAGGCGCGTAATAATTGGAGCAAGACTATAAAATTTTTCACCATGATTATAAAAGAGTAAAGCTCTGATACCACTGTTCGCAGCAAGAATACCTTTTTCGGCATATGTACATGTACCTCCTCCTTTCACTAATGCAACAAGACCTGATACATTCTTCCAATCATCGGCTGTGCATCCAAGATTTGGAATATTGATAACACGAACATAGTCCGTGAAGTTAGTTGAAGTCGAGTAATTAACATAAGTGAATTCAGATCTAGCAAGATTCAATGAATATGTAAAATTTTTCACTGTACCATTGATCAACGAGAGCAAAATTGGATCTTTTGCAAGAGCAAAATTTCGTATTTGAAACGTTTCTCGTTTAATTTTCAAGCCTCTAACTTGATTTTGTAGATAGTTATAGATATAGTTAACAGTTTCATTAAATCCTCTCGTATTTATAGCTCGATTACCATTTGATTCATCAGCAATACGTTGAAATTGTTTTAAATGATTCATAAGATCATCGATACGAATTGTTTCAGCTAGAACTGAATTAAGTTTTGGTTTGCTACTTGCTGTTGTCGAAGATATAGAATTAAAACGTCTATTTAGAGTACCTAGTGTAGCAGCAGAAAGTATAAATGTAATTATTCCAAATAATCCAACTATACATAGTATAATGAATATATTTTTCGGTGAAGATTCGAATAAAGCCATTTGAATTATAAACGTTAAAGAATAAACAATTCTTTTTATCAAAATGATCTATTGCTATTACATTATTAAATCATCCGAAAAATTGTTATACATAAAGTTTATTATAGATTAGTATTGTAACATATAATTTATTCATGCATGTTTTACATTTAGAATCATATAAGATATATAAAATGTTAAAACATTAAAATTCAATCTTTTTGCTCTACACATACAAAATTTTCATATCAAAGATCATCCGTTAACACATTTCTATCGTAGATAAAACTAAACTATTTAATTTTTCAATCTATATCTGATTCACTTGAAAAAAGCTCATTATCATTGTAAAATAATATAATTACATCAACAAAACATAACATTTCAGAAAACAAAAAAAAAAAAAAATTGCACGATATTTAAATAAAATGTGAATTATGATATAGATGACCAAAATTTTCCTCGATCTTGAAATGCAACACCAAAATGTCCTGTACCAGGTGGATAATGAAAATTCGTTCCAAATGTATAAAAATGTTTTTTACTTTTTATACTATATTCACGAAGTTGATAGTCAAGTGATTTATCATTAGCATTTGGTCTATATGAAGATATTTCACCCCAAAATATTTTCGATCGTTTTGCTGTTATAGCAGTTGCATGAAGACAAAATCCATAACCTTTTCTACTTATTAAATTATTATTTGTATTTTCTGATATTATTATTTGACTCTGATTATTATATTCTGGTCCACAAATACCTAAATAAAAAAATCCATCTTGAAATTTTAGTTGTGGACGTTCCATAAATTCTTTTAATGGTTTTATAAAATTTTTTAATGAAACTAATGATGGATCACAAAAATTAACATCATCTTCAAAGACAAATGACCATTCATATTCATCATTTTCGGAATATTTTGGAATTACATAAGTCCATAGATCAACGAATGCTAATAAATTTGATGTCCATTTTTTAAATAATACTGCTGATGATGCATCTACTCGAGAATCATTCAATGAAATAGTTAAAAAACATGAAATATTAAAAAAATTTGGAAATGCACGTTCAATATTTTGTTTTGTTGCATTAAAACGTATGGAACTACAATTCGCGGTTATTATAAATGCTTTTGGTTTTGATTGACTATGAATAGTTGATGCAGTATTAAGAATTATTGGCGCGGTATTCATAATCGATGGCATTGTCTTTCGATTAAAAAGTAAATAAATAATAGTAATCGATAAACCAACTAGAAATAATTTGATAGACGTACGTTTTGATTGTGTAACAGACATTTCATTAAATTTTAAATGATAAATACATGACGCTGTCTATATAAGATTTAATCTTCACGTTTATACTATTGTTTAATTTTATATTCATCTTGCATTGTAGTATTCATTATCTGAAAATAGAAATACTATCGTAAAGGCGCCTACAAGTTTCATAATAAAGTTTGACTTAGAAATAAGACATATGTAGGTTTGTAGAGCAAAATTCTCTTTATCGAATTCTACCGCGTACCGTCAAAATTGATTTTTGACTTGAATTTCAGCCCATTAGAGACCTGCATTCAACTTTCTTTTATGTCCGTAAACCTCACTAGAACATTGATTTAAACCCTTAAAATCCATCGGTTTGTAGAGAAAATATCAGAGAATAAAACCTTCACCGCAAAAAAAATTTTAATATAAAAAATGAATTATAGGCAAGAGATTTAGTTGACTCCGATACAGGTCTCTAATTGATTAAAAATCAGTTTTTGCGGTACGCAGTAGAATTCGATAGAATCCATTTTTAAAACACAATTATTATATAAATAATTTATCAATGAGATGTTTACAAAAGATGTCTTAATAATTTTTCTAACGAAAAAAGCCTTCAACCTGACAAAGATATAATTTATCATTCCAATGAGAATTATTTATGATTCAAAATGGTTCAATGAGAATATACATGACATTATTGTCTTCTACCACATTTTCTTACAAAAAATCTTATGATATTTGATCTAGAATTATCAACACTGATGATAACGATGAATTATACTAAACTATTAAAATGTACTAATTGAAAATTGAATTAAAACATTTTTTTTCACTTTTGATTTATAAATATATTTTGAAAGATCGGATGTATTTGTCATTTAAATATATTGTCTCTTCATCGCTCTTTTTATTAACTCAACAATGTTATGCTTGCAAATAGAAAATGAAATGTAATTTCTAACTAAAATCAATGAATTCATCCGATCGTTTACCTCGTAAAAATAACATTTGTCCTTTATTATTATGATTTCAATTGTCTACGAAGTCATAATTATTAAAGGTAGAAATAATACACTCATTTTCTAGCTTAGAATAGTTATTTCTAAATGTTATTCCATTTTGTTTCCTCGTAGAAGAAGAAAAAGAAACAAAAATAATTGTAGCATAGAATATTACCCTTCTTAGAACTTCATGTTATATACTAAAAAGCTTTTAACATTCGACAACCACTTAACATAATAACTTTTATTTTTTTTTCTCTTCCGGAAAGAAGAAGAGTAGAATGAATCAAAAAGTATTTCTTTTTTTTTCAAATGAAACATAAAAGTACGATCCTTGTATGAACAAAATATTTTACACAAAAGATAAGCAGAAGCTCTAAACAAACTTAATTTCTATTCGAATTCTTTCATAGAAGAAATCCTAATGTGAATTATTATACTATAAAAAAAGGAAAGATACAGTCATGCTATTAAGATTGTTTTTTTCAAAGAAAAATTGTGACTATAACACTCAATTCTAATATATGCAATAGAATTTCATCTAGGATGTGTTTTATAAAAAAAAAGTAGGATTATTACCTCATTCAAACATAAATAATAATCATGTAAACTAGTTGATAGTTAACAATAAATAGTTTCTTTTGAAATGACTATCGCGTATTGAAGGAAAAAATAAAAACTAAACACTGCTTTTTTTACTTTCTTTTCTTTCTTTTTCTTTTCTTATATTTTTTTCTCTTTGAATTTTTTCTCAATACAAAAGACTAACCAATTCATGGTAATATACAAATTGATATTAATTGACATTAAGTTTTGTAACCAGCGAAACGACTTATTATATGATGTTTGAAATATATAGACTAAGAACTAAATAATTTGACTCTTTGGGACCAATTATCTCGATTGTTCGTGCCATATAGTAGAGCTAATGCATGACTAATGATGAAGAAAAATTCAAAAAAAGAAACGAAGATTTTTGTTATAATGAATATTTATTCGTCATCAGCTCAGTTCAGAATTAGGTTCTCATCGACAAAGTGTATCAATAATTCCTTGCAACTGTGTAAATTAAGTTCGACAACAAACGATTTTTGTATAAGTTTTCATCCAACAAAAGGTATAAAATTTAGAAATATTATTAAGTACTTGTATCGTAGTGTATTTGAAGAATATGTGTCAGGCAGAAATAAACTTAATTTTAAAAAAGTATTCAGTTGTTATTATTATTTAAAATTTTTGAAAGGTGTAGAGTTCGTAAGTTGTATTCAATGGAAAAAAAAGAACAAAATTTAAGGAAGATGTAGAATTTCCAAGTTGCATTAAAAAAAAGAATGTAATTAAAGAAGATGTAGAGTTCGCAAGTTGCATTAAATAAAAAAAGAATAAAATTTAAGGAAGATGTAGAATTTCCAATTTGCATTAAATAAACAGAAAGTGCAGCGAAACGATAAATATATATGCATAAAAGCGAAAGATTTTATATATGAAAAAACATGAAAAATACAATTTTTGAGCTTGTCAGATTGGTTATAGCGGTCATCATCAGCAAACAAACATCAAAACATCATACAAATAATAATGATATAACAACATATAAATACGTCAATAATAATAAAATAGATAACTTGATTAAATTGTTATTGATGGTGTTTTGATGTTTGTTTACTGATGATGACCGCTATAACCAATCTGACAAGGTCGAAAATTCTATTGTTATTGTATTTTTCATATATAAAATCTTTCTCTGTATTTGACTTTATTTTGTTACTATCAAGTTATCTATTTTACTATTTTGCATTAAATAAAAAAAGGATAAAATTTAAGGAAGATCATAAAGTTTTTTTTTCATGAGTGAGGTGGGTAGGATGATTATTTTTGTCTCATTGAGTAATTTTTATCATTTTAGATCGTGCGAATATCGTATCTACTCAATAAAATAAGTTTCTCTTAATCAATTGATACTAATTTTCGCGGCGAGAAAGAAGCAAATTTTGTCTGGGATATGTTCATTGTATTAAAATTACTTATTGATTATTTTAGTAAATAATGCAAACTACTTTTATATTAAATGAAATAATATTTTTTGTTTATTTACGATGATCGAATAATCTTTAGAAGCGATAACGAAGCATTTGTCGATATGTTGAATAGTGAATAGCATCATAATTGACGTATTTCTGAAGAAAACTATTGATAATATCTAACTTGAATAGTATATTCGCTTAATCATACAGTAATATTCTTTATCTAAACCAACTTAATTAGTAAATGAGAATGATTCGATCACTCTATTCATTTATATTAAAAATCAGTTAATGATTATAGAACAAAATGAGACTTTGTTTATTTTATATTTATTACTATGGATGGATTAACATGAAACATGCATAAATAACTACACACAAAAAATAATGAGAAATATACAAAAAAACTAAAGAAGACTAGTTCGTCCAATCATCATTATCTGTTAAACTATCATTATCATGTGTTGTTGGTGATTGAACTGACGACTGACTAGAAGAAATAGAATATGAATTGAAATAAAATAAAACAAAGTTATAAATAAAAATACTTTTCATGAGATAACGGTACATTTGGAGTATATGCAGGCGATGTTCTACTAAAATAAAACAACTCTTATTTAGTATTTTCATATAAAAAAGATATAAAATTAAACCTATATGGAGATGATAGATAAGATGGAGTATAGATTGGTGAATTTATGCTAGAAATAAAATTTATAAATTTTATCATTAACAAAAAAATGATTAAATACTTGTATTGTGGTGTATTTGAAGAATAGATAGAATGGTTACGTGATGTATACGATGGTGATGAAGCAGAATACGCTAAATAATCAAACATAAGTCATATGAAATCGAAAATCAGAGAAACTAGTTTTTTTACATGAAAATGATGGGGATGTTGGAGAATAACTTGGATTTGAATGTGTTGATGAATACGAAGGAGAAGTTATATCTTATAAAAATAGTATTTTTGAAAATGATAATACTATAAAAAAGAGAAACTAACTGTAAGCAGGACTAGCTGATGAATAGGAAGGCGATGTTGTTCTCCGTATTGTCGAATCAGGAGGACTAACTACTGAAGTGTACGATGGACTTGTTGAGCTATATATTACAAATCAGTTACAATGTAGATACAAGTAAATATAACAAAGAAGAATACCTGTAAGTCATCGCTCTCAATTCATATCTATTAGGTGAACTTGAACCATCATGATATGGTAGAGTTGGTGTATAAGATGATGAATTCGATGAATAAGTAAAATTTGTATGTGGCGATAATGGCGTATAACTTGGAGAAGTTACTGCTTGATAGGCTGGTGTTGCTGCTACACATCCTATCCAAGGTGTTGATGTATTTAAACGATGTTGATTATATTTTTTCAAAGCTTCTTCAGACATCAATCCTTGATCGACATCATCTATTGGTAATTCCATAGCTGAAGCACTTTTTTCAGTATTCAAAAGAAGTTCAAAAGAACCAGTACCAATTTTAGCTAGTTGACCAAGTAAAATACTTTCTGAAACACCTTTTAATGGATCATATTCTGCATGAGCTGCTGCTTCCATAAGAACATCAACTGTTTCTTCAAATGATGATCTCATTATTGGACTAAAATTTTCTCGATTAATTCCATGTCGAGTCACAGACATTAAATGTCCTTTAGTTGTCATAACATCACATAATAAAGCCAAATGTCGATAATTAACATAAGAGTCACCAAATGAAAGAACATAATTCATTTCATTTTCAATAGCTTTACGTGCAGCTTCAATACCAAGAACACTAAAGATTTCTATAATATCATTAGTATAGGTACGACGATAATCAATATCTTTCAATGAAAGAACTTTATTTAATGATGTTCCATCAGATACTAGACTATATTCTTCTAGTGCTTTGATTGTACCATCATAATCAATAATAAATCGTTTTTTTGATTTAACAATATAAACTTTAGAAATTGATTCAATTCCTATTGAGAAAAAAAAACAAAATATAACAAGAATTAATTAAGTAATTATCTAACCTTGTAATGTCAAATCAGAAAGTAAAGTAATTTCAAGATATCGAAGAAATTCTTCATCATCCATTCGAATTGAATCTTCTTCATTGTTCTCACATGTATTTCGATCAGTAGTTCGAATATGTAGAACAAGTTTTTCTGCATTATCATCAGTAAAAATTACATGTAAAGAGTCATGAAAACATTGTGAAAGCTTTTCAGATATTTGTTTCATTGTCAAATTGTTTTTAATCATTTTCTCTCGATCAAATTCTATACGTAGTAACCATTGAGAAATATTTGATGTATTTTCATTAGGCATTTCATAATAGTCATGAACCCATTCTTGATCTTCTCCAATGATTGTTTCTCGTGGATTAGGATCATGATAAATACTTGTATTACTTACAATATTTTTCATTGTACAATGTTCAATATTATATATGATTTGTTCACATTTTTGTTTATCATTTGCTATTTCATTGTTAAGAAAAATAGTCATTGAAGGTGTTTTAGGTTTTTTAGAAAGATTAATTATTTCCTTGAGACGAGGAACACCCAGTGTAACATTTTTAGCTGATACACCAGCAAAATGAAATGTATTTAACGTCATTTGGGTAGCTGGTTCACCAAGTGATTGTGCAGCTAGAACACCAACCATTTCACCTGGTTGAACTTGTGCTTGTTGAAAACGTGTTTCAATTTGTCCACATAACCAATCAAATGCTTCCGTAGTTAAATGATGAACTTGAAGTATTTGTTGTGAACAAAGTGATGAACGTAAAAGAATATTCATCAACATAGTTGCATTATGTTGAGCTTCTTGTGAAAAACGATCATTTCCTTTGATAACTACTAAACGTTGAATTAAATCTTTTAGATTTTGAATAATTTTAATGGGTGAAAGATTTGATTGAGTTTGATTCGATATTTTAAATATTTTTCGAGCATTATAAATCAATCGTTCGATATTACATGGTAAAACTATGGGTTTATCATTATTTTCAAGAAAAATTTCTCGAAGATGATTTCGATCTTCACATAATTGATACCATTCATCATTTAAGATTTTTAATGAATTGTCATTCGAGAAAAGATCATGAATAATATTATCATTAAGAAATTCTTGTAAATCTTCTTTATCTGTTAATAAATCAAATTTACATATATTTTCAAATACTCCAGTGGATGATCTTAATGAAATAATTGATTGAAATTCAACATTTTCTCCTGCTAATCCATCTTCACCATATGTAAATTGAATTAATTGTTCATCTTGATTACGAACTGTACCATCATATTTAACCATAATCGATTCCATTGCTTTAACTAGACGACGTTGAATATATCCAGTTTCAGCTGTTTTAATAGCTGTATCAATAAGACCTTCTCGACCACCCATAGCATGAAAAAAGAATTCACTTGGCGTAAGACCATGGAAATAGGAATTTTTTACAAATCCTTTTGCTTCTGGACCATAATCATCTTTGAAAAAATGTGGTAATGTACGATGTTTGAATCCGAATGGAATTCGTTTACCTATTCATGAAAAAAAATAACAATAACATAAAATTAAAATTTTTATGTAATAGAACCTTCGACGTTCTGTTGACCGACACAAGCAATTATTTGTGAGATATTTATTGGATTACCCTTTGCTCCACTGACAACCATAGCTTTGAATTGGTTAAAATCTGATAAAGAATTTTGAGTTAATAGTTCAGTTTTTTTTCGAGCATTGTTCAAATGTTCATTGATCTTATTTTCAAAGGTTTGTCGAAATGAATTGCCTGGTTGATTTTCTATTTCATTACGATAAAATTTTTCAATCAATACTTGGACTTCATATCTAGATTGTTCTATAGTATCTTGAATAATTTTATAAGTTTGTTCATCAGTAATTGTATCATTAATACCTAAAAAATAAATTAATCTAGTGATTTTGTATAATCAAATCTTACCAATCGAATGTCCTTCGATCATCAACCAATTGTTAACAATTAATTGAATATGAGAATAGAATTTTCCAGCTATTTCATGTCCGCATTCCATGAAAACAATATGTCCTAATGAGCCAGCACTTGCTCCTAATGTTTTTTTACATAAAATACCTGATAGTAATTGACCATTTTCAATTAATACGTTTGTATCATTTGATGAAACCCATTCAAAATCGTTTTCCTTATTATTTTCCTCATGTATTCGAATACAATTGACTTCTTTTGGAAGAATTAAAGAGAATAATTGTTTTCCTGTCCATAATGGTTTTGGTTTGAGAATAGCTGGTTGTGGAATATCACCATTCCATGAGGGAAGATACATTAAAAGATTCATAAATTCATGTTTTTCAAGAAAAACATCACGACGAGTCATTTTTGCCACTCCTGTTAATGCATCTTGTACAATACCCATAACTGGTCTATTTGATTGAGGTGTAATTAGAAGTCGTGAAACACTCATTAATTCTGATAATTCAGCTTTAGCTTCGATAGATTGTGGTAAATGTAGATTCATTTCATCACCATCAAAATCAGCATTATATGGTGTTGTTACACTTAAATTCAAACGAAATGTTGACCATGGTAATATTTTAACACGATGACACATCATTGACATTTTATGTAATGTTGGTTGACGATTAAGAACAACAAGATCATCATCCATCATACATCGCTCAACAGTATATCCATATTGTAGATGTATATCTGATGGTTTTCGATTAAAACGAAGATCAATACGATCTCCATTGTGTAAAATGATATATTTTGCTCCATTACATTGAATTAATTGATGTAACCATTCGGAATTCAATGGAGTGACAATTTCTGGAACAGTTAAATTCTGTGCAATTGTTCGTGGAACACCCACTTGATCAATAGCTATATTAGGATCACCTGTAATTACCTAATTTATATTTCATAGAATTTTTTGAATGACATAATCAATTTTTTATAATAAACTTACAGTTCGAGCACTGAAATCGACTCGTTTACCCATGAGATTTCCACGGATACGTCCTTCTTTACCTGAAATTGAAAATAAAATAATTCTCAAAAAAAAAAGAAAACGAATAATCAAACCTTTTAATCGTGCTGAAAGAGTTTTCAATGGTCTACCATTTTTTTGACATGATTGTGGCATACCAGGAAGATCATTATTGATTAATGTAGCACAAGAATATTGAAGATATTGTAAATGTTCATCAACAATATGTGAAGAAACTTCAATTTGTTCATCTTGACGTAGAATATTATTTGCTTTAATGATATTTGCTAGGTTATATGTCAAATCATCTTGACTATGAGATACACCGTATTGTAATACTGATGGACGTACACATATAGGAGGAACAGGTAAAACAGTAAGGATCATCCATTCGGGACGTGATTGCTGAGGATTCATACCAAGAATTTGACACGTTGTATTCGAAATTAATTTGAAAATTTCAAGAACACGTTCAGCTGATAATTGTGTTTGACCTTTCTGATTTTCATCAACTCCTTCTTTCCATTCAATTGTTAAGCCTAGGCCTGCTCGACGATAGATTGGTTGCACTTGTCCACAACCATTGAAAGATTCATTTGTTACATTACTTTCATCAGAACAATCTCCTTTAATAAATTAAATTTCTCTCAAATAAAAAACTCTTAAACCTAATTCAAACCTTTGCAAATCTTTTGATTTTTACACACATCAACTATGTAAGGAAGACGTCGACGTTTTTGACCTTTGGTCCTTTTTATAATATTAATAATTTTTGGATTGCTCGAATCGATCAATAATTTCGAACAATGGAAACAGACACATCGTAAAATTTTTAATATTTTCGGTAGAAAAGCAATATGATAGACGGGCTTAACCACTATAGAGGATATATGATATTTATCTCATCAACTATCTCAAAGTAAAACAAAAAATTAAAAATACCGACATTCTATATGACCAAAATGTCCTGGACATTCAAGATAAGAACCAGAACAAGTACAACATCTCGAATTATGATCTGCTGGACCTTGTCGTGGATCCATCAGACCTTGCATTTTTGGTTTTCCTTCTTCAAATAATTCAGTATATTCAATCGGTGGATTTGTCACCGACATTCGTCGAATTTCATCAGGAGATAAAATTCCGAACTGAACACGACTTAGAGTACGATATGGTGCCATTGAATCGCTTATTTGTGAGTTAAAATAAACCATCTCACTGCTTTCTTATTATATTATAAATGAGTAAAAAACACACGAACATGCGTCTTTTATACGCCAAAATACGATTTCACCTGTCTATGGGAGAATGCCGACATAGCAACATGACACATGTTTCATGAGTCATGTTACAAACAATTGCGCAAGAACAGATATAGTCATATAATTCAATATAATCAAATCAAATATTTTTATTTATAAATATATTGGATTTTACTTCTAATCTTAAGATATTCTTAAGATCTATGAAAAATTACTGCCCTCTATAATACATAATCGTTAGATGGCAGCTTTCATCATAACATTTGATAATCTTGACGAATTTCTTTGTCATATTCAGCATAAAATTCCTTTAAATCTTGGATAGAATTTCTTGCTTCATCTATTTCTGATTCTGTTTGATTTAACGCTAAATCACATAAATATATCGATGTTGTTGTTTGATTAGTCAACATTAAAACTTGTTTATCAGTAAGTGTCATATCGGTTTGATGACGAAATTGAACTGGAGGATGATAATTGATACCACAGCGGAATCCAGTTGGTACACGCTCAGAAAATCGAATGGATTTTTTCATATCACAAATTAATTTTTGTCCAATTTCTTTTGGAACGATCTTTTCCCCACGAAAGAGTAAACATAATGATAATACTAACTTGTATGGATTATTATCATGAATAAAACATGTATTGGCTTCAGAAATAAATGGAATACACATATCATATACTGATGGAGATTTAAAATCAATATCATCTTGAAATCGTCTTGGAATTAATGGTAAAAGATGCGTTGAAATAATCTTTAATGGCGGATGAGGAACAAGTACTCTAGAAAATTCATCTAATGTTCCTAATGCACATCCTTCAAACCTCAATTCACATGTTAGATTACTCCAACAATAAGATATTAATTGATTGATATTGGAATAAGTAGGTGTAGAAATATCTAATCGATATTTACATAAATTAGAAATGGCTTTATTTTCCATTGGTATAACAATATCGGCAGTTTCTAGTAGATTAGACATATGACTAATATTAATGGATGATCCAATTAATGAATTTGTTAAAATAGTCATTTTTGAATATTCTTCATTTTTTAAATGATTTAATAATTCAGAAGTTAAATTTGAAGATTTTCCAAATGTTGAATGAGAAAGAATAAAACCTTGAAAATAATCACAGATTTCAATTTCTTTTCGAATATTATTCATTAACATTTCAGAACAATCCGATGTAACACAAAATTGATGATCAGCATAGAAATTCTTCAGATCACTTGTTCGAATTTGATCAATCGTAGAACAATCAGTATCAATAAAAAGTGCTCGAGGACGAAATTTCTTTCTTTCATTATTATCATTATTCATCGACGAGAAAAAAGATTTCGGAGGCTTTTCTTCATTTAATACATATCCATCATTATCTAAATGATGTTCAATTGAATATAATTGCCAAGAAGAATGTCCAACTTCCATTCCACCTGATCCAACATGAAGATGAAGAATTTCACGTTCATTATTTTCTATTTCTCCTGACATTCTTTTAGAATTCGATATAAAAGTAAAACAATTTGCTCTTTCCTTTGTTAGATTACATGTTTTTTTATTTGTCAACAGAAATAACGAATAGTAATCATTGTTTTAAAAATTGAAGGCACAAAGAAGATCTTCATGGATGAGTGTGAGTGTGGGTGTGCATATGGATAAAGCAAAGATTAATCCTCACCCGCATCCTTCACGTCTAGCACCGGATGCAACAATATAAAAACAGTCGAAATCGAAGTGTCGATAGCATTCTTTTAAAAATTCGTTTCGAAGAGAAAAAGAACCCATATGGTTGGCATTCCCATCATTTACTTTTCAAGTATTCAATAAATATGTAAAATAAACACATTTCTTATCTATAACCATATGTGTTTTGAATACTGCTTCATCAATTACTTCTTAGCACAATCGTTTTCGACGAATAACCATTGAAATAGTCATTCATCAAAAACAATAGTTCTCATGCTTATCTCCATCTCTCACTATAAATATATACCCAATGAAAAGCAGTACTTATTTCTCATTATCGATATTGAAGACCAAAGATGATATTGAAACGCATAGTACTTTTGGTGACGTTGATCGAAGTGGCAGATGGATATGTTATTGACGCTGACTTAGCGCGTGGTCTAGTTTCCAACGATTCATTTTTCATTCAACCCAAATCAAATGATTACATGCATTTAAGTGATTATCCTGAAGATTGTGCTGCAGTTTATCTCAATGCATTAGCATCCCAACAACACATCTCCACTGGCATCTATGAGATTTGGCCAAGACAAGGTTTGAATCATCGCTTTTCTCATCCCCTCTGCTGGCAGAAGAGTTATCCATCGAGTGACTGCATCGAAAACGAGTAGATGTTCGTTCGTTCGCTCCTTTGCTCATAACACTCACACATACAGCCATCTGATTACTAATATTGATACGGAAGTACGAGGGAAAAGACTAGAGGGTAGGTAGTTTCACCCAAGTGAGTACGCAAATGCATAAACTGAGATAGAGGGATGGGGAAAAGGAAGCGTAAATTTCATTGCAATAGACAGCTTCTAGTAGAGGGCTTAACGAAGTTTGCGTTGCTTTATTTTTAGGTAAACCAATGAAAGTATGGTGTGATATGGAGACAGATGGTGGTGGATGGACAGTTTTTCAGAAGCGAGGTGATTTTACTCCACAAGAAGACTTCTATCGAACATGGTTGGAATATAAGCGAGGTTTTGGAGAACTTCATCGACAATTCTGGCTCGGTAATGATCGTCTATCGTTGTTAACTAACCAAGATCTTTATCAACTAAGAGTTGACATGGAAGATTTTGATGAACAAAAACGTTTTGCTCAGTATTATAGTTTTCGAGTGTTAAATGAACAAGACAAATATCGACTATCACTTGGATCGTACACAAAAGGTGATGCAGGAGATTCACTGACTTATCATAATGGTAAGCCGTTTTCAACCAAAGATCAAGATAGTGATCCACACCCTGGTTCATGTGCTCACATCTGTAATGGAGCATGGTGGTACAATAATTGTCACTTGTCAAACTTGAATGGTGGATATTTACGCGGGGACCATCCGAATATTAATGGCGCAGGAGTGAACTGGAGGACATTTAGAGATGTTTATTATTCGTTAAACACATCAGAGATGAAAATTCGTCCTGTTTGGTTCAAACCTTGATTTTTCTCATTGTATTTCTCTGATATTCATGAACGCTTTAGCACTGCTGTCATCACATAAATAAATTGTTTGTGCTTTTCTTCAACTGAACTGAATATAATTGAGTGAAATTGCATAGATTTATCTATTAACCATCAGATGCTGTTCACAATCTTGTGGATCTGG